TAAGCTCTAACCATATCTAACAATATTGTTCTCCATAAATTAAGTTGTATTGTTGTTGTCGGGTATTTGTTTGTTTTTTTGAATTGGTAATGTCTTTCAGTGCGGCTTGTAAGGGAGACGAGGTGTATTAATACTTCTTCTTGAGATAAATCATAGTTTATTCTTGTGTGATGTTTCTGTTTCGTTCTATATTTTTATGTTTGCTTAATGAGCTTGATGACCAAATTTGCACAAAAAAAGGATTGATTGTGCAAAAATGAGATATTGCGAACCTTTCTCGTCATACAAATGGCACAATATGTGCACAGCTCACTCAATATCAATCAGAATGTGATTATGAAATAATGAAAATTATTCAAAAAATAATTTCATGGGGGGTTCACTACGAGTATTTGTATGACTTAATTACTCTTGACAGACATTTTATACATTTTGTGAAAACTGGAAATCATACGAGTTGCACAAAAGGAACACATCTCACTCATTATTGATTGGATTTTGATCATTCATTGATAAATATTGTCCAAAAAGCCATTTTATGATGGGTTTATTATTACACTTTTGACAAAAAAAATCATCTTGTTTGAAATTATTGGTTTGAGGTTGGCGCAATGCCCTATTTGTAACCTCAGTAAAACCAGCAAATTCTTCATAACTCAGTTATGGATGGTTCTGCATGGTTAAAAATCATTTGGAATTGTTATAAATGTAATAAAAATAATTAAGGAAAGTAATCACCCTTTCTGCACCAAATCTCATTTGGCTAAAGAGTGTTATGTTGCTATATTTTGTGTTAAAAGCACAAATATGTGCTTTCTTGGGCTGAAAGTTTGAAGAAATTTCAAAGTGACTTTGGCCTAAAATTTCATTAATAAACCCCCCCTAAAAAACACTCAGGAATTCAATGGAACAATTTCAAACACCAAAAGACAAAAATTGGCTGAGATATGGACAAAGAAAAATGGGTGTTAAAATTTAAATTGGGCAAAGGTGTGTCAAGAAGCCTTTTTTTCAAGAAAAGTTATTATTAAATGGAAAATAAAATTTAATTTCAAACACCTTTCATTATTGAACTTCCAACTTTGGAGCAAAATTGAGTGAGATATGGGTAATTTGTGACATTTATATCCCCCCACAACATCACAAAAATGTTATGGACAGACTTGGGGGTTTTCGGCGA